TAAAGATGGCGAATGCATAGTTTTTCTTGTGTTGTGAGATGAATTCCAGCCATTTTTTCTTAATTGTCGGGTTTCCAAATGAAAACTAATTTCCACACGTCACGAATTTAACTCAAACAACTTCATTTTTACTGCACTGAAACTTTGGTGAGATGATTGAGTTTCAAAACTCAATTCAAGATTGAGTTTTTGGGGCCGTTTAACGGCCTAAAAAATCCCTGAAAAAAAGCCTGCTGTGGTTCCGGTTTCATATCGTGAAAAAATTAGGGTCGGTAGGTCGGAAATAAATATTTTTTCTTAATATTTTTTTCATGGTTTTGGCGGTTTTTTGCTGGGTGATTTGCAGTAGAGTCCCGACATCAATATTAACTAGAGATGCGTATTTCCTATGGACGAATTTAGGCAGTTTGGTTCAATAATTAGTAGTGTGACAACAGACGCAATTTTGGCACGCTGTATGAGCAGCCCGCAACCACCTGGAGAAAATAGGGTTGCACGGTCAATCGCATTGAAAAAATAATAGGGTCGGCAGAAAAAACAGGGTTGGTTGGGAACCGGAACCACAGGTATTTTTTTTAGGCCTAAGCTGATTACTTGGTTAAGTGGTTTCACTGATATTTTTTGTTCAAATGGTTAAATTTAGATCTATCAAATATCTTTGAGTCATTTCTTCCTCAATTGCTGGCCTATCCCAACCCGGTGGATCCATTAAATGGCGATGCTGCCGCACTTTATTTACACAAACCAGAACAATATAAAGACAGAATAAAAGGTAAAATATTATATGGGATAAAGTTGAATGTTAGTCAGTGTTAAACACTGAGTCATTTCCCTCAAACATTTCTTACAAATCCTTCAAAACTTAGAATTTACCGATGCAAATTCCAACTGTGATCACAGAAACTTTGATAGTGTAAACCATCCTTTATAACACTCAGTAAGTTTCCTCAAACATTTCTTACAAATCCTTCAAAACTTAGAATTTACCAATGCAAAATTCCTACTGTGATCACAGAAACTTTGATAGTGTAAACCATCCTTTAT